GGGAAGAGCTCTGGGCCAAGAATGGGGGAGGTGGGAGTGGCATGCGCAGGGGCTTTGTCTTAGTGGGTGGCTCTGGACAGAGAATGAAAGATGGGGTGAATGGGAGGGGCAGGTCCTGGGTCCTGGAGAGTGGGAGCAGACAGAGGGCAGGAGGAATGGACGCTTTCCAGACCTTTGCGGTAAATTGTGAAACAGCACCCGCTGGGGGCTTCTAGGAGAGCCAGCTCCTCCCCCGGGAAGTTCTCGGGGGAAGAGATACAGGGAACAGTGGGAGATCCCCAAGGGCCATGGCTTCACAGATCCTTTGCTCCCCAACCCTGAACGTTACAAGTAGGGCAAAGGAGGCCTGAAAAGGGATGGGAGTTGCCCAAGGTCACTCCTCCAGCCGCCCCGTGGCAGCGCAGGGTGTGAACCCAGGTCTCCTGACACCCCCGTGCTCTTTGCACAACTGGTGGCCTCCTGGCAGAGGGAGGCTGGCTGGGCCGTGGGCTGAGCCTGGGCTTTTGTTTGATCCCTGCTCTGGCCTGAGGCAGGGCGGGGGCTCCCTCCTGGGTCTCCAGCGAGCCCTGTACTTCCCGCATCTCTGCACTTAACCACCCTGTACACACTGGCCTGCCTCTCCCACTAGACCATCACCTCATTTTTCTGTTTCCCCAGCCCCTGGCACAGGGGCTCAGGACAGCATATGCATAAGAACATTTGCTAAAGTGAGGGCACCTGTCCCCCCACCTGTGGAAAGGAAGCAGGGGTCTGTCCTGCCCAGCAGCCCAGGTGTGAAGGGGCAGACTTCTCCTAGACCTAGCCCGTGTCTTGAGCAGTTTCTTTGCGAGCCCCTCATAATGTCAGAGCTAAAAGGGCTTTGGGGAGGTCATCTTCTGTGAGCCTCTTGTTTTCCAGATGAGGAAATTGAGGCTGGGGGCGGGACCTCCCTTCCCCAGGGTTACAGAATTGGTTGGTGGTAGAGCGCTTTGTGTGATGACTGTCCAGAGACCAGAAAAGGAGCCTGGGGCGTAGAGGCAGACTGCTCCTCACTTACCTGCTCCATGGCCTTGAATAAGGCACTGAACCTCTGTGATCCTTGGTTTCCTTCTCTGTAAAGTGGAGATGGTGATCCCTGCCGGGTTTATTTGCAGGATTGCTGTGAAGGGACTTGGATTAATACTTATCAAGTCCCTCAAGGACTTGCTGCTTTGAAATTACTTATGCTCTGGTCCCACCTTGGATACCTGGAACATCCTCTCCTGCCAACCTTCACTCTGCCCCGTATCTCTCTGGCATCACGGAAGGGGCCAGCAGCAGCCCCTCTGGCCTCTGAGCTTTGGGGGCTACTGGGGTGTACACAGTATGGGCTTTGACATCAGATGGCTCTGGATTGAATCCTCATGGCCATTGATGATTGCCCTGGAATGAGGCATCTCTCAGTCTCATTTTTCTCAAAAGCATATTGTGAGGATTAGTTCTTAGCACGTAGCTAGTGCTCAATAGACAGCAGCTGTTACTGCTTCACCAGTAACCCTGTTGTTAACAGGACTTTGTAGTTCTTGTGTTTCTTCTGAAGACACAGTTCTAGAACAGTAAGCAGAAACGTGGCCCCTTTTCTAAAGTCAGCCAACTCAATTCAGAGGAGTGTTTCCGAACGTGCATGGAGCCAAGCTTCTTTGTGCATAAATCTAGAACATTCTGAATCAGTTTCGTGTAGGGAGGCACCAGGCTGCTGCTGATCCCTTATGGCAGTGCAAATGTGTCTCTAAAGTTCTTGTCTGGGACAAATATTTATTGAGCAACTTCTATACCAAGAGCTTTGTGCTAGGTACCCTGGGGGATGGAACGACATGGCTTCCCATGTGGCTGGAGAGATAAGACACATTCACATGAAAATGATGAAGGAACTGAGGGGGAAATAGGAGAGGAGTTTTTATGGAAGGAGATGAACTGGTTTTCCTAGGCCTAAGAGGCATTCTTAATATAGTTTAAACACCAGAATCTTTGGTGTTTCTCAGATGATTTACTGAGATTACATTTTTAAAAAAGAAAGAAAAAAAGAAAAAGAAATTGGGACTATTTTAGAGCAGTGACTCTCAAATTTGAGTATGCCTCCAAATCCCTTGGTGAGCTTGTCAAAACCCAGATTTCCAGGCCTACCCCCAGAGGTTCTGTTGCAGGGTGTCTGGGATGGGACCTGAGATGTTCTAACAAATTCTCAAGTGATGCTAACGATAGAGAATCTTGGCTCTGTGGTCACCAGATTTAAAAGAGAATTGTCCCTGGAAAGCTTGGCAAAACAGATTAGAGCTCTATTCCCAGGTGGAGACATCCAGCCCTGGTTTTGTAGGCAATAGGGAGCCATAGAAGACTTTTGAGTGGAGGAATAGCATCACAAAAGTGATGCTTTACAAAATTGATGGGCAGTTTAGGAAAAAGAGTGAGAGAGTGAGAGCCAGGAGATCCATTAGGAATCTATTAGGAAGTTAGGTAGGAACAGTGGTATTAGCCATGCCTCTCTCTAACAGGCCCATTCCTAGTGCCCGTTTTACAGGTAAGGAAAATGAGGCTCAGAGAGATGAAGCTGAGCTGGGATTAGTCCTCGATTTGTCTTTGCTTGTAAGCACTAATTCTCCTGGTAGTGGTGAGGATGGAAAGGGCCCCTGAGTCCCAAGTCCACACTCTGAGCCAAGGCCTACCTTTTCTTTCCTTTCTTACCTCCCAGATTTCATCTGTTCCAGGCTCTGGGATACAGCAGGGATACACAGGACAGGCTAGATCCCTGTCCTCCCGGGGCTGTTTCCAGTGGGGGACCATAAACAAGGCACATAATAAACAAAAAATTCTATCACGTGTTAGAAGGAGCTATGAGAAAAGAGAGTGCAGGCTGAGAAGGGTTGGGGAGTTCATGGACAGAATGATGTAATCTCACTGAGAAAGTGCAATTGCAACTCTGGAAAAGGTGAACCTCCGGATGTTAGCTTCAAGTTCAGAGCCTTCTGTGGGATCTTCCTTGGACTTGTAGAAAAGATGTTTAGAGATAGGCTGCTCTTTTGACACCTGGAAAAGCTGAGACCCGTAGGCAGGAGAGATTAGAGAGTGGTGCGAAGAAACGGGAGCCCCTCGGAGCTCCTGGACCCCATCTCACTCCCCAGCCCCCCAGGTCCCAGGCTCTCTCTTCAGGCTATTTATCTTGGTCAGTTTTGATGTTAATAAATTACTCAAAACCCAGTCCTGGAACAAAGGTCTTGGTGGACAAATAGTAGGAGTTGCTGCACTCGCTGTCACCACCCTTCCCGGGGGAAGCTGCCTCTCTGCATTCAAACCAAAGGTCAGGTCCCTCTGCCAGTGACTTTGTTAGAAACACCTCCTTCAGGGCTGGAGGTGTATAGCTCAGTGGTAGACTGCATGCTTAGCATGCACAGGGTCCTGGGTTCAATCCCTAGTACCTCCATTAAAGAAAAAAAAGAGAAGAAGATTTACTACCTCTGTCAGCCTAAAAATAATCCCTACTCCTGCTGGGGCTTTGTTTGGGTAGGGCAGTTATGATCTGACATGAGCTGGTGGTTGGTCCCCCTGCTTTGAACAAGGCACATCATTCATTCATTCATTCATTCTCACAGCAACCTAGCTGAGGTACACAGGGCAGCTATACTGGGCATTGAACCTAAGACCTCGTGCATGGTAAGCATGAGCTCTACCACTGAGCTGTACCCTCCCCCCTTCTATCTGCCTTTATCTGCCACATTTGCCCTGGAGATTTGGAGACTGGCCAGATCTCCTCCTCGGTAGAGCCTGCCCAGACTTCCAGGGGTCAAGTTCAGGCTCACTCAGCTGGGCTCTCCCAGAGACCTCTGGCTGTGACTGTGTTCCAAGATGCACTTCTTTTGTGACCTCCTCAAGGACTAAGCATATTTGTCTTGGGCTCTCCATTTGCGGGAGCTGGGATCGGGCCCAGGCCAGGAGTAGTGTGAACGCTGGGGAGGACGGTGAGTGCAGCCTTCTCGTCAGAAGGGACAGAAATTGCAAAGGAAGCATGGAGTGAAAGAGCCTGGTGTGTTCCGGGAGAGGCATACCTGGAGCACAGGATACACAGGTCCGGGGGGACAGGAGGGGAGGGGAGGCTGACAAGCTAGGTTGAGCCATCAAGGGCCTTGGACATCAAGCAGGGAGGGGGTTGGGGTTGATCCTCTTGGCAAGGAGCTGCAGTTGTGTGGTCTAAATGGAGGACCCCTTGGAAAGGGGTGAAGTGGAGGCAGGGAGGCTGGAGAGAGAGGTGGGAGGTGGAGCTGCCTCTCCTGGCCTCCTGAGGCTCTGCAGAGCTTCAAGAAGCAAACTGGGCAGCAGGATCTCTGTAGAAGGAACCAGGTCTGCTCAGCTGGCTCCAAAGACATGGAATCTTCTGGAGCTGCCATGAGATTCTGTGGCCCCATTCCCAGAAATGTGGGTCACCAGCCTGGGGGAGCAAGCGTCTCAGCAGATGGAAGCATGTCCCCCTGAACTCCTCTGTCCTGCAGCTTCTATTCCAAGGACAATGAAGGTAGCTGGTTCCGCTCCCTCTTCGTCCACAAGGTGGATCCCCGGAAGGATGCCCACTCCACCCTGCTGTCCAAGAAGGAGACCAGCAACCTCTACAAGATCCAGTGTGAGTGGCTGCTGAGCTGGCTAGCCCACCATCCTGGGGCCTCTAGGAGCCCAGGCCCTGTGCGGCTCCCCCATCCCCCTCCCCACTTCACCTCCCGCTCTCTGTCCTCTGTTGCAGTTCACAGTGTGAAGCCCGAGTGTCTAGACGACTACAACAGCCTGACGTGAGCACCCTCCAGCCCCAGCCCCTGCTCGGGTGGGGGACTCTAGCCCAGCCCTGTTGTCCTTGCAGAGATCCAAGGGGTGGAGATTGCAGAGCCATGAGTCCTAAGGACATCTTGTGCGGCCTCTGCTGCTTAGACATGGGGAGCCTGAGGCCCAGCCCAGAGAGCCTGAGTTGGAAGCTTTATCTCAGGGGTCTGGTGGCGGGTGTGAGCCTGCTGTATCTCTGTGCCCTCCTCCGCTCTCAGGGAGGCTGTGCTGCCCAAGCTGCACCTGGATGAGGACTACCCCTGCTCGCTCGTGGGCAACTGGAACACATGGTACGGGGAGCAGGACCAGGCAGGTGAGCTGCCCACCTCCCCAGCGCCACTGCCACCCTCTCTCTCTGCACGGTGGCTCCCAGAGAGGTCTTCCTAAATGCAGTCTTCACTGTCCTGCTCAGCCGTCTGGGGGTCTCTGACCTTGGGGTGGCCCACGAGGCTCTTGAGTTCTTCCTTGCCCGGCCTCTGGCCTCATCTCACCAGGTCCTCCTGCTGGCCGAGCCATCCCACCTGGAACTTTCCGTTTTCTAGAAGGACAGCTTTTTCCATCTGGTTCCAGGCTGTTCATGCCGTCTTCGTTAGCCTGAAGCATTCTTTCTGCCTTGCCTGCTTTTCCTGGCTCACTCCACTATTCATCTTTTATTCTGGTATAGACATCACCTCCTCCTGGAGGCTTCCTCTGATTTCCTCCACCCACGCTGGGTGAGGCACCTGTTCTTGCTCCACAGTCCCCAGGACTTGCCTCTTCACAGCCCTGATCATGTGTCCTGTTCTGTCAGTCTCCCCATGTAAGTGGTAAGTTCTAGGAGGGTGGGGCCCCTACCTGTCTTTCTTCACCCCTGAATCCCCACTGTGCAGCACATATTTGTGGAATAAACAGGGATTCTGGTGTGAGCTGGCTCCTTACAGCTTCCCAGGGCTGCCCCCAGCATGCCCCATCCCACCCCAACATGTCCACTTCAGCTGGCACCAGCTGTGAGGACCCACACATGAACTGAATCACTCACAGCATCCCAGCCACTCAGATGGACCTTGGCATTTTGATCTGCATGGTCCAGGAAGCTAGCCAGTAGTTACATATGCCAGTAGTTAAATATGTAGCTATTTAAATTTAAATTGGGTAAAGTTAAATAAAATGAAAAATTCAGTTCCTCAGTCACACCAGCCACATTTCAAGTGCCCACTAAAAGAAACATGAGGCTCGTGGCTGCCATCTTGGACCGCATAGCTGTGGAACATTGCCACCGTAGTAGAAAGTCACTTTGGACAGTGCTGATTAGACTGCACACAGCAGAGGGAGGTCTTCTGGAGCAGCCCGGATAGGGGGTCCTCTACACGTCTCTTGAACACTCCCAGAAGCCAGGAGCTCACTCCCTCATATGCCAACCTGTCTCACCCTTCAGTAGCTCAGATCCTTCGTATTTGTCTAGGGGCTGGGATTGGGCCTGCCCAACCGACCCTTTGGGGAACCTTCCTCCCTTGGCTCCCAAGCACAAGACTGTTTCTTTCTTCTCTTCCACACTAACGAGGTTTCTTTATTATTGGAAGGTGTATTAGGGCTTTCCTAGCACTGCCATAACAAAGTACCAGTTACCAGGGGGCTTAAAGCAACAGAACTCTATTCTCTCATGTTCCAGAGCCCACAAGCCTGAAATCAAGGTGTTGGCAGCGCCATGCTCCCTCCAGGGCTCTAGGGGAGAATCTTTTCTTGCCTCTTCCAGCTTCTGGTGGTTGCTGGAAATCCGTGGCATTCCTTGGCTCACGGATGCGTCGCTCCAATCTCTGCCTCCTTAGTCACGTGGTGTTCTCCCTGGGTGTCTGTCTTCACATGGTGTTGCCCTCTGAGTCTGGGTCCCAATCTCCCTCTTCTTGTAAGGACATCAGTCATTAGGGCCCACCCAATGTGACCTTGCCTTAGCTCGATTATATCTGCAAAGACCCTACTTCCAAAAAAAGTCACATTCTGAGGTTTGAGCCAGGTATGTACTTGGGGGTGGGGTGGGGACACTCTTTAACCCAGTACAGAGGCTGTGATAAAAAAATGTGAATGGTACAAAGAGTTTTCCATGAAAAGTAAGCCTTCCTCCTGCCCGTGATGCCCAGGCCTCAGTTTCAGGCTGCAGACTTCCCCCCATTACATACATACCTAGCCAGGTTTGGGGTAAGCAGGGCAGGGTCCCGCAGCCCCCTGACCTGTACCTTCCTCCCACCCTCAACAGTGCACTTGTGGCGGTTCTCAGGCGGCTACCCAGCCCTCATGGACTGCATGAACAAGCTCAAAAACAACAAGGTACGTCGGCACCCATGTGGCAAACCTCTCTGGGTACCGGTTCTGGTTCAGCCTCCGCCACTGCATGGGACGCACTTCCAGGGTTGGAGCACTTCCTGGCCGCTATACCCGAACTGCTGTGCCCACAGGAGTACCTGGAGTTCCGAAAGGAGCGGAGCCAGATGCTGCTGTCCAGGAGAAACCAATTGCTTCTCGAGTTCAGCTTCTGGAATGAGCCACAGCCTAGAGCCGGCCCAAACATCTATGAGCTGAGGACGTACAAGCTCAAGGTGCCTCCCCCGCCAGGTCCCTACCTGCCTCCCACCTTCCCTGCAGCAGTGCTGCTTTCCAGGTACCCGGAGGTGGGCAGGCCTTGTGCCCCAGCATCTAGACTGGGGCTTCTGGCCTATCCCTCCTGCCAGGCTCAGAACACAGGTGTGTGCACACGTGTGCAACTGGGTGCGAGTCAGGGCCCCTGAATGAGGCAAAGCAGCCCCTGGGGCTGGGGAGATGTGACAGTTTCCCATCTTCACCCAATAGTGATGCTTGAAATCCCAGGTGGGGCTCATTCCCACCTTCTCCTCTGGTTCTCTTTCAGCCAGGAACCATGATTGAGTGGGGGAACAACTGGTGAGTGGCAGTTCCGGGAGTTGGGGTGGGGGACCCTGCCTACCTGCCCCTCCAAGGCCCCTGGTGGGTCACCTTCCCCAGGGTGCTCTGGCAGGGAACCTGGCATCCTCTGCGCCTCATGGATCCAGGAGAAGGTGATGGTCCAGCCAGGGGGTGGGGACTCTCTAGAGGATGGTGATAGCACACCTAGGCAGTGGCTGCACCTCCATCTCCCTGTTACCCGATCACTGCTGAGAGCTGAGGGCCCAACCTCAGGCTTCTCCCTTGATGTGCAACTGAGAAACCAGCCTGGGGACACCTCACAGGGCCCTCTGCACTGGCCCTGGCCTCTGCCCCACACTCTTCTGCCATCCCTAGGGCTCGGGCCATCAAGTACCGACAGGAGAACCAGGAGGCAGTGGGCGGCTTCTTCTCGCAGATAGGAGAGCTCTACGTGGTGCACCATCTCTGGGGTAGGTGGGGGACCCTCCAGGAGCCCTCTGTGGTCCCCTTTCTCCACTGTCACTCTACATCGACAGTGGGAATACATCAGTGCTCTTATGGAGTTTATGTCCTAGGAGAGGGAGACACTACCTCCAACATAAACTAACAAAAATGATAATTTCAGATTGTTACAAATACTGAAGAGACAGGGAGAAATAATGAAGAAAAACATTGGTACCTTCATTGGCTTGGATAGACGAAGAAGCCCTCTCTAAGGAGGTAAAATGTAAACTCAGCTAAAGGATGAGGAGTCAGCTGTGAGTTGCCAGGGAAGGGTGTTCCAAGTAGAAGGAACAACATGTGCAAAGGCCCTGTGGTAGGGAAGAACCTTCAGGGTTTTGAGGAGTGCTAAGGAGGCTGGTGTGGAGAGGGTAGAGAAGAGAGTTGGGAGGTAGGGGTGGCTAGATTAGGCTGGGCCTTGAAGGCCATTGGGTTGAGTTGAGATTTATTCTAAAGGCAACAAGAGACTGCTGCAGCCTTTTAAGCAGCATGATGTGACCTGATTTGTGTCCTAATATGATTCCTCTGGCTGCGTGTGCTTTGTTGAGAGCACTTTGTAGGGGAGCAAGAGAGGGAGTGGGGCATCAGGAGGTGGTTATACTAGTTCAGGTGGGAGAGGATGGCAGCCTGGCCTAAGGTGGTGGCTGTGAGGATGCCGAGAAACCCACAGATTCATTGGTCTGGAGGTGGAACTAGTGGGACCGGTGGGTGAATTGTCTGTGTGGGGCGAGGGAGGGAGCGAGGACTCCAGAACTCCCAGACAGGATCCTGCTTGAGCAGCTGTGTATCGCTTGCTGAGACCCTTGAAGGAGCAGGTTGGAGAGGTCAGGAGTATAATTTTGGTCCTTGGAAGTGTTATATTTGAGACGCTGACACATCTGAGTGGATATGTCAAGTGGACATCAGATATATGAGTCTAGAGCCCAAGGAAGAGTTCTGGGCTGGAAATAGACATTTGGGAGTTGTCAACAAGTGTACTAATTGGATGAAATTGTCAAAGCAGGCAGTGTTTGCTAACATCTGGAGGTATCCGGGGAGGAAGAGACTGCAGGGCAGTGTTCGGAGCAGTGGAAGGAGGGCCCCGTGCTGGGTACAGGATCAGATCCTCTGTGCCCAAGGAATGAGTCTATGCCTTCCCCACAGCCTATAAAGACCTGCAGTCCCGGGAGGAGACCAGAAACGCTGCCTGGAGGAAGAGGGGCTGGGATGAAAATGTCTACTACACAGGTGAGGTCAGCTGGGTTCTTGGAGGTCATCTGCCAGGAGCCCCATCTGAGGATGGAATCCCCTCTGCAAGGAGATCTAGCCTCCCTTGACTACCTCCAGTGATGGGGAACTCACTTTCAAGACAATGAGTTACTAGGTTCCTATCTTGGTGGCATGTTCCACATGATGCAGGCCATCCTAGGTGAGCTCTCAGGGTCAGTAACACAGCCAGGCAGTCCCTGCCTCAGCAGTGTCATCCTTGAGCACACAGTGTCACCTTGGGCATGGTTCTTAGCCTCACTGATGCTGTTTTCCATCTGTAAGATGGCGCTGGTGATGGTGCTCCCCAGAGGGCTGGAGGGAGGGTTCCGGGAGCTAATTGATGACGAGTGCTTTGCTCAGACTCTGGCCCACAGAAAGCACACAGTGGTTTTTTTTCAAGCAAGTTTTTTGCTTAGTGTTCACCGCTTTGCTGGGATCCCTGAGAACCACCTGGAGTCAGTAGGTGCTGATAGAGCCCTCAGTGTGTGCCGGGGACAGTCGTGGGCGGCAGGGTTGGGAGGTGAAGGATGAACAGAAACCTATCCCCGCCCTTAAGGAACTTATAGCTGAGTTTCCACACTTACCAACTGGTGTGCGGGCGAATGCGTCTCCTGAAGGAGTCAGCAGGAGCCTCGCTCTTCAAAGCATGGTGACAGTGTCAGCATCCCCTGGGAGCTTGTTAGAGATGCCGAATCTCAACCCCCTCACTCCTCTCAGTAAATCAGAATCTGCGCTTGAACAGGGACTGTAGGTAATTTATAAACATGGTAAAGTTTAACAGCTCTGAGCGGGAGGAAAGAGTCTGACCTACTTGGTGACCTTGGGCTGACCCCCTCTGGACTGCAGTGTCCCCATCTGTAAAATGAGTCAGTTCAACTAAATTGGTGTTTTTTCAAACCTTAGCCGCTTAAGGACACTCTTCCAGTTTACTTTTGCTACAATTATTTTCCAGATATTTTTCTTTGAATCTCCCTACTTTGGTCTTCACCCAGCTTTGTCCTACGCAGTAATACATGCGAAATCACTTCTTAACTATGCTAGTTATTTTTTCACATACACAGGGAAACAAATGTATAATTATGAACAAATTTTAAGTCACATTTCATCACAACCTAAGACCCCTCATATCCCACAATTTGGGAGACCTGGTGCTCTCCATGGGTCATTCTGGGAGAGCAGTGGGGTTCTCCGTCTCAGCATCCCAGGCCTCCTCCTTCAAAGGCCAGTTTGGGGTGTTGGCTCGCCTAAGCCCCCTCCTTGACCTCTGCCTCTCTCTCTGCAGTCCCCCTGGTGCGACACATGGAGTCTCGGATCATGATCCCTTTGAAGATCTCGCCTCTCCAGTGATGCTGCTGCTGCCTCCACCTCCTTCTCCCTACTCCCTCAGGGTAGCCACGGACAGAGGAGTTCCCGGTCCTGCTGTTTTGGTTTTCTCTCGGATCCTGTGGACTCTGGGGGGTAGTGCTCAGCTCAGACAAGAGGGAGCTGAAGGATAATGGGTTTCTGAGGACTTACAGTCTGCCCAGACCCTGCCCATCTTCCCCGCCCACCGCTTCCCCTGTGCTAGAAGCAGGGTTTTTGTTGTTGTTGTTGTTGCTTTTTGTTGTTGTTGTTGTTTTAGAAGCAGTTTTTAATTTCTCTGAATGAAGAACAGTAACCTTTTATATCTTTTCACATTCCCCCCTAAGATTCTTCATCTTAAGGCCACCAGTCTACGGTCATCATCCTGGAAATCCTCAGTTTAGCTTTAATTGCACAAAGGGTAGTGTGTCCAGTGGCTAGAGGTGGGATGGGAAGGGAGGAGATCAGACCAGGCCAGGCTCTCAGGAATTCCCTGGTCTCCACTGGGCTACCCACTTGCTGGACAGTCTGAGCCAAGACCCTCCAGCTGGAGAAAAGCCTAGAACTGCCTCAAGAAACAGAAGGGAAAACTGTCAAGTTAGCAAAGTCATCAGGACCTCTATATATTCCACCCAGAAAGGCTGGGAAAAGGAATGGGAGCTGGGAAGGATCTGGGGAGGGAAACAGAACAAGAACCAAGAATGTAGAACTTAGAACTCAGAACTTGGGCTTGAACTGTAGAATCTGGAATACAGAATTGGGAAGATAGAATAGGGGTGACAAAAGACCACTTGGGAAGGAATTCCTAATATAAGATACTTGTAGAGAGGACCATCTCTTTCTCCTCATGTAATGAGGTTGAGAACTTGACTCATTCCAGCCCTTTTGTGCAGGGAGTGTGTCCGGCCCTCCCTACTTCCCTCCTGCAGGCAAAGCTATGGGCTATGTCCTGTATTTCCTTCACCCTGCATTCCTTTACTCCCTCTTCACATTTTATCAGCCCAACCCTCATTCTCCTGGGCCATAGGATATGTGGAGTGGGGTCAATGACTTTGTAGGGGAGCTTCTTCAGTGACCCTCACAGCTCATGAACCTCTGGGTAGCTTGATTCTGCCTCCCTTTCAGGAAAATTTGTGCTGGAGTCGCTGATGGAACCAATTAAATATTTACTATAAAGCACGGTGTCTTTTCTTCATTTGCAAGGAAATTTGGCAGGTGCCTGATGCAGGGCCAGTTTCCCAGGCCCACCTGGCTGGTCTGCCCCACTGGAGGGTATCGTGTTTCCTGAGCTGGCAGGGAGGGCCTCCCGGTATGGCAGAAAGAACTGCATTGCATAACCAGGGATTCAGGACATCTGTTTTTCTACCTCCAGATAAGTAGGGTTTACACCAAAAGCCCTGAACCTTGCATGTACCATTCATACCAGGGGCAGAAAACACTAGTGAGTTGTGACTCTGCCTTGAATAAATCAGGCCCCAAAGGGGGACATCACTAATGCACCTGTGGGGAAAAAAATAAGTGTAAGGTGGAATTAATGCTCTCCCTGACTTGCTGCCCTCACTAGTGTGGGATGTTAGGGTGGAAATGACGGTTTAGAATGCAGGTTATGGAAACAAATCCACGGGGGTCCAAATCTTGTCACTACCACGCTCCTGTGTTGTCCTGGGCGTGGGACAAACTCATTCAACAAGTACTTGGCTGAGGGTCTACTAGTTGAAGAAAGAATGAGCGAGGCACATAAGAGTCTTCGCCCTTCCAGCCTTGATTCCTGGGTTTCAGAGCGCAGCGCGAGGCTACTGGCCGGCTGGGGAACGCCCTGACAACCCACGTACTGGCCGCTCCCTTTCCCCTCGGCCGCCCAGCCGCTGCCTGCACCCCTTGCCGGTGGGTTGGGACCCTCCGCGGTTGCTTCCGGCCCCCGCGCCCCACTTCCGGTCGGCCGCTCCTTCCTTCCGCTTCTCTATGGTGCGCGGGCTGCAGTGTCCATGACGCCGGAAGCGGCTCGTTCCCCGGGACAGGTTCTAGGAGCCGTGAGGTGAGGAGGGGGCCGGGGTGGCGGGGCCGCGCTGCAGAGCGGGGCGGGACAGGGAGGGGCGCGCCGGGACTGAGGTGCGGTCCCCTGAGGGCGTCGCCGGGCTGGAGTCCGACCCAGTTCTCCGTCCTCATTCCGCGAGGACCCTGGCTGCTCACCGCCGCGCTCTCAGTTTCGTCCTGTGGAAAATGTTGGCTGCAGCCTCGTCAGGCCCCACAGTGCAGCCTTTAAATGACCGCGACGACGGTGACAGTGGCGATAGCAGCTCACGTTTACTGTGCGTGTGTGTGCGCCAGGCACTATTTACTGTGATGCTAAAGTCAGGTTTTCCCACACTTCACGCCTTTCTGGTCCCATCTTTGTGGGTTTTGCGAAAGCAACTTACCGCGTACGGCTGTTTACTAGAGGTTTTTAACCGAGTCACTTTTTAAATTTAAATTGATTTAAAAGAAAAGTTTAAGTCTTTACCATAAATAGAAAGCTTCTTTCACTTGTTCTATTCCGAAGGTAATGATAAAATTTTAATGTATTTAATATGAAAACAGGTCCTTGTTAATAATTGTGGCTAGATTTCATTGTCAAAGGCTCTGAGACAGAGTCCTTTTGTTAACAAAGGAATGTTGGCATTTGTAGATGTTAAAGGCAGATTCGATAAATGAGACGTTCTTGAGACAATCAGAAGTTTCTAAAAACAATGGAAAGGGACTGACTTTCTCCTTAGGTGTTGAGCAATGTCAGTCACCCATGTGTCATTAAAAGCCCCACTCCCATGTCCTCTTCCTCACCTTCCCCAGTGGAGTGCCTCCTGTGTTCATGTCCACAACAACCCCTGGTAGAGATGGCTGTTCTGATCTGTGAGGAAACAGACCCAGAGAAAAGTGAGGGGACTTGTCCCAGGGCTCAAGGGGCGGAGACTCCAAGACAGGGCTTCTCTGAGTCTACTCTGATGAGGTCCTGACTCCCTCAGTAAGCGTTGGTGACATTCACTAGGAGAGGGGGAGAGTGTTGCCCACTTCTGGGGCCTCTGGTCACAATCAGTAGAAGTGACAGATGGAGGCTGCTTTGTGACCCTAGAGCCCCATGAAATTAGATTCTGTTCTTTTAAATTTTGGGGTCAACCAGGGAGTTGATGGCATTACCAGATAACATGGTGGCAAAACCATAAGACACAGTAATGTAGTTGTCAAGAGCACTGATGTGGCATGGCTTTAGCGTACTAGCCATGTGACCTTGGGTAAGTCATTCACCTTCCTGACACTCAGTGTTCTCATCTGTAAAATGGTACTTGTTTGTATCTGAGAGCATCCCTGTTATAAGGACCAAATGAGAACATACCCATGAAGTGCTTAAATCGAGGTCCAGCACACAACGATCAATCAGTAGTATTGCGGCTTACATGCCTGACTGAGAAGTTTGGTCAGTGGGGTGGTAGTGGTGCCCTTAAAGGAGGTGGAGTTGGAGAAGATGAGTTCATTTTGGACAGGCTGAGAGATGATCCCCCTTTTTACAGAGGATTAAACAGGCTTGGGAAAGATTGAGTGACTTTTCTTGAGTTGCTGAGAGTATAAGCGGCCAGAACTGCTAGTTAGACTTCAGTTATCCTGACTCCAGGAAAATCTTCAGTTCCAACTCTGGAAAAGCTCAGATGTTTTCTCCTTTGAACAGGTCTCTGCTGTTTCCTCCTGAATTCACCAAACAGCCATGTCATCAGAATCGAGCAAAAAACGGAAGCCCAAAGTGATCCGAAGTGATGGAGCTCCATCTGAAGGGAAGCGTAATCGTTCTGAAACTGAACAGGTGAGATCAGCCAGGGCTGCCGTGCTGCTGAGAAATTGCCGCTCATGGCCGAGTACCTGACTGTGGGTTTGCAGTAGCTGAGGGTCACATTCACAACCTCCCAGGTGGCCTCTGCTTGACCAGATGCCTGGAATTCCCTTGCCTATTTGAAACCTGAGTATCCATGTTACATTTAGCTGCAGCATCCCAAGAACCACCAAGCCTATATTAGGCATGATTAGTGCCTGAACAAAGAATGTCTTCTAGTATAATGTGTGTCTCTAGTTCTCCTGATGGTCAGAAAAATGCAGTCCATCTGCAGCATGCCACTAGAGCTCTGGGGATGTGGCATCCCTGGGTTGCTGCCAAGACAGTACCAGAACCATGTACCCTCTTGTGTGGCCTGAGTGTTCGTGTTCAGCAGGTTCTTTTCCTTTTGTTGTTTCTCTGTCCTGGAATTTGTCAAGCTAATTTATGATGTAACAGTTTGATTGGTTGGTTATATTTTTTGTTTGTTTTTTAAATGAGAATAGAGCAACACAGCTTAAATTTAAATAGAAGAGAATGCTTTCCTCAGATTTAGGAAATTAAGATTAATAAAGAACCTTATCCTTGGGGGACCATTGATTCTGATTCACTCTCTTTTTTGTTGTTAAATTGAGGTATAATTGACATATAACATTATATTAATTTCAGGTGTACAACATAATCATTGATACTTATTTTGTGATCACTGCAGTAAGTCTAGTTAACATCCGTTACATTACATAGTTACAGAATTTTTTTTCTTGTGATGAAAACTTTCAAGATCTACTTTCTTAGCAACTTTCAAATATACAGTACAGTATTATTAACTGTAACTGACTCTCTCTTAAAGAGATATGTTCTGTTTACTCCAAAGGCTGGGAGCCAGTTAGGATGTTTTAGTAGTTTCTACAAAAGGATATTTAGTTTCTACAAAAGCTTAATTTGACCATCTACATCTTATGAATTCTGGTTCGTCTATATGTAACCATTTTGATGGAGATCTGTATTGGGATGGGAAATTACACTAAATAGCATGAACAATGTGATACCATTTTATTTAAAAATAAAATTTGTATTTATCTGCCATATTAATAATGAAGTTATTTCAGGCTGGGAGGTGAGATTATAGGCAATTTTTCATTTTGTTTTTGACACTCCTCACTATATTCTGAATCTCTGACACCAAGCACATATTGCTTTATAATCAGAAAGAGGAAAAGAGAAATTATTTTTCATTTTGAAAAGAAGAAGAACGTTTGATTTGAGGACCAGATTCTTTAGAGACCTGTTGAGGCTTCATTGTTACTGATCTCAGCCAAGTGTCCCTGGTTCCAACAGGGAGACTTTTACCCCCAACCCAAGGCCTGAATCCTTACCTCCACAGGAAGGTAAATACTACAGCGAGGAGGCTGAGGTGGACCTGCGGGACCCCGGCAGAGACTACGAGCTGTACAAGTACACATGCCAGGAGTTGCAGAGGCTCATGGCTGAGATCCAGGACCTGAAGAGCAGGGGAGGCAAGGATGCGGTAAGGAGTGGGACCAGGTGGACATGGACCTGGTGAGTCTGCATGGAGGGACCTGTTTCACACCTATCAGAGCCTTTCCTGATATCAGTCTTATGTCCTGCCATGATCAGGTGGCTGAAGTCTGGGGGCTCCAGACACCTGCCTATTAATTTATTATAACATCTCCACCCAATCACCAATTACAGTCATGAAAGTACAGGATAATGAATTTTTTTCACAACTGTAATTTGATAATTCACCCAAATAATATTTATTAAGTGCTGGACATTTTACTGGGTATGGAGAGATAATAGTCCATGTCAGTCACCCTTACTGTACAAAGATAGATATGTACAAGTAAACCATAAAAGCCAAAAGCTAAATTGTTAATATTAAATAAATAAATAAATGAGGCTTCAGGGCAAAGAAACAAAACAGTGTGACGGAAAACTAGATGGATAAGTTCAAAGCAAAATAATCCATATTTTTCCAGGAATCTCACTTGTTTGTGCTTATACTGGGAAATATTGTTAAGATTGTTACATCCTATCTAGTTTACTGCAGTCAGGCTTTACAGCTATAATTCTATTTTCATTTGTTCTGTAATGTTATTTACAGGGGTCAAATTGTATGGCGTGACGTTGCTATCATTTGGATCTTTGTGTGAGATGTGTAAGGACAGCTATTAATTGTGCATTGGCTGCACTTGCTCCATCTTGAATTCCTGTTACTTTGGTCCAGGCAGAAATTGTTTTTTTTTTGCCTGGGAACCCCAAGCATTTTCCTAATACCATCATTCTTCCATTTCCCTCTGACACTTCTTATGGTTCTGAG